GTGCTCATGGCTCATGTCTGCAATCCTAGCTTAGAGGCTGAGATCTGAGGATCCAAGTTTGAAGCCAGTCTGGACAGGAAAGTTCATGAGATGCTTATCTTCAATTAACCACCGCAGTGTTAGAAGTGGAACTGTGTCTCAAATTGTAAGTGCTAGACTTGAATGAAAAAGCTAAGGGACAGCGTCCAGGTCCCGAGTTTAAACATAAGGACTGGCACCAAAAAAACCCACAAAAGTTTAAATAAAATGTTAATTTCTTTCTATGAATGTTCTTTAATTGTAGATGAAATTTATTAGGAAAAGTACAAGAGCTATCTTTGAGAACCACAATATTTTTAAACCAAATTCTTAAAATTACTTTGGGCTTTAAAAAATTGGTGATAAATTTTTGCATTTTGCTGCATTGACTTCAGTTTTTCTGCTGAATTTTATCTAGGGATAATTTTTTTCTTTTTTTCTGTCATTTTTCCTTTTTCTTTCATATTTTTTTCCTTTTCATGGCATGTGGTTTCGTCTCTTTTATAGTCTAGCCTATCTTTGAACTTGTGATCTTCCTACTCAGCTTCCTAAATTCTTTTTTTTTTTTTTTTTTTTTGCCGGTCGTGCGGCCTGAACTCTGGGCCTGGGCGCTGTCCCTCAGCTCTTCAGCTCAAGGCTAGCACTCTACCACTTGAGCCACAGCGCCACTTCCAGCTTTTTCTGCTTATGTGGTGCTGAGGAATCGAACCCAGGGCCTCATGCATGCAAGGCAAGCACTCTGCCACTGAGCCACCTTCCCAGCTCCTACATACATATGCACCCACATACTAAACTTAAATCATTTCTTAATTGCTATTCCAGTTTCAGGGTCTGAAGAAAGATGGTGAACTCAGATAGGACAAGATAGGGATAATTTCCCTCATGGCTATTCTAAATATTTGAAACACTTTCAAGGCTGGTCATAGCCCTTGGTGATGCACAGTTGGTAAGGCATAGGGGATGTATGCAGGTGTGAGTCGTATTCTCCATAATTAGAAGAACCTTTGTATTCCGGGATGGGAAGAGTATCCTTGACCCCAGGAAAACAGTAAGTCCATAAAGCACACACACAAAAAGACCTAAGTCCACTTATTAAACAATTCTACACACACACACACACACCTTAAAAATAGTAAAATAATATTCTCACAAACAATCTGAGTTTAGAGAATGGGTATCAAGGACATGCACAAAAGCTTTCGTTCCACCCGTATGTAAGTGACTCTAGAGAAAGAGAAGTGAGAAACGGCCGACTACATAACAGTCTTTGTGGCACCTAACTTGGGGCAGGGGAGGAGGAAATAAATAGTTCATAGCTTGGGTAAATCCTCTGTCCCATAGTCCAGCTGTGGCGCTCCCATGATATCACGAGGCAGTAAACAGCCAAATATTGTCCAGACAATTTCCTGAGACTCAAGTGCATCAGAGTTTCTCATCTTGCTCTTTCCAAAGCCGGCGTGATTGGCTCCTAATTTCTTAGCCTGGAGTCAGCCATCCTGCAATACACATAAGAAGGTTGCATGGCTGAGTCTTATCAAAATAAGAGTAATCCTAGCAAGTGGTTTTGCTCATGAATGTAGGGAAGATCACAAATCATCAGTATCATCGAATCTCAGAATTAAAATCATGTGGCTAGGGGCAGTGGCTCAAGCCTGAAGTCCCAGCTACCAGGAAGCTCAGGGGAAAAGGTTACTTGAGCCCAGAAGGTGGAGCCAGTCTGGGCAACACTGAAAACTTGTCTCACAAAATTAAGTTTGCCTGGAACCAGTGGCTCATGCCTGTCATACTAACTTCTCAGGAGGCTGAGATCTGAGGATTGTACAAAGCAAGCCTGGGCAGGAAAGTCCATGAGACTTCTCTCCAACTAACCATCAAGAAAACAAAAGTAGAACTGTGACTCAAGTAGAAGATCACCAGCCTTAAGTGAAAAGCTAAGAGACTGAGTTCAAGCCCCTGTACTGGCACAATATAAATACATACATACATACATACACACATATTAAAATTAACATCATACAGTCCACCCAGCATATATAAAAGATGTCCATGTATGGGCCAATAAGGATTTGTGTAATACAGGGTTTCTTAAAATGTACTCCACAAACATATTAGCCCTTCAAAATGCAACTAGTTAAAAATGCCTCCCTCGGGGCTGGGAAGGTGGCTCAGTGGCAGAGTGCTTGCCTAGCATGCATGAGGCCCTGGGTTCCATTACTCAGCACCAAATACACAGAAAAAGCTGGAAGTGGTGCTGTGGCTCAAGTGGTAGAGCGCTAGCCTTGAGCTAAAGAAGCTCAGGGACAGTGCCCAGGACCTGAGTTCAAGCCCAAAAAAAAAAAAAAAAAAAAAAAGCTTCCCTCTTAGAAATCTACAATATAAATTTGAATAGAAAAGTACTTGTGGATATAAGAAGTGTGTAAGAACTTACATAATCATATATATACATATATTTGTATATGTATATAAACACTGAATTTTATTCATTATTCTATGATAAATGTTTGTTGATTCAATTTAATCTTGCAAATATAATGGAAAACAAAAGAAGGCTTACAAAGAAAATACTTATATTCTTATTGCCAAGAGAGTAATCATGGCAGTCTCTGTAATCTAAGTATGTAGTGGTCACTTGGGAGAGATAATCTGTCGCCATGGGAAACACACACACCTTTCAACTTCAAAATGAGGTTAAATCCTAGCACTTCATTGAAGGAAATGCACAGGTTATAGACACAAGTACATTTTCAGTTGCCATGGTTTGTGCATATCCCTTAAAATTCATATCATAATTGTGGAGGGGTAAATACAATCAAAGTATGTTATATATAGGTATGAAAATGTCACAGTACTTTGTACAATTAATACAGGTATGAAAACGTCATAGTAGGCGGGCGCCGGTGGCTCACACCTGTAATCCTAGCTACTCAGGAGGCTGAGATCTGAGGATCGTAGTTCAAAGCCAGCCCAGGCAGGAAAGTCTGTGAAACTCTTATCTCCAATAAACCATCAGAAAACCGGAAGTGGCGCTGTAGCTCAAGTGGTAGAGCGCTGGCCTTGAGCTGAAGAGCTGAGGGACAGCGCCCAGGCCCAGAGTTCAGGCCCCATGACCAACAAAAGAAAAAAGAAAAAGGAAATGTCACAGTACTTCGTACAATTAATATATGCTAGTGAAAGTTAATTAGAAATTGAAAGAAAAACTAGAAATTGAAAGAAAAAGTTGACTCCCAAATTCCCATGTGCATGGTATTCAAAGGTAAACTTTGGGAGGGGCTGAGGAGGAGATAGCATGAGGATGGGGCCTTTATCAGGGTATTGTGGCTTTCCAAGAGCCAGCTGAGTGGCCTGCGTGCTCTGTGCTGCAGGTGGAGTCCTCTGCCATGCTTTAATGTAGATGCTGGTACCTCTGCAGTGCACTTGTCAGCCTCCAGAACCTCCCGCTACCTACGTAACATCCTTTGTAAGGCACCTGATTCTAGTCGCAGAAAAAGGACTGACACCTGTTGCTTATCATGTTAGAATTTTTTTAGGGCTGAGAACTATCACCTGATGCTCATCAAGGCAGAGCACCTTTAATGCATTCGTTGGTCTTGCCTGGCCAAAAAACCAAAAGTTTAATAACTGCTTTGTCTACATTATTCAACTTGTGGTATAACTTCTTTCACATTTTTTTCCTATGTGTGTGTGGTTTTTTTTTGCCTGATCAAGGTCAAATGTTTTCTCATTTTCTACTGATCTGGTTGAACGTAAAACTACACGCCATATATATGCATTTTACACAGGACCATAACTGCATTTAATGACTGGCACAGAGAAACTAAATATTAGTGGTCAGTGAGGCTTTCCTATGATTTATGAGATGAGAAATTGAAAGGGCAAGAGATCATTTGAAAATATGTGGATTTCATAGTGTGTGCATTTTATTTCAACAAAGCAGTTTTTTTTAAAGAAAATATTATTTCACCTATTTTTAGTCCTGAGGATTGAACCCAGATTCTTACGCATGCTAGACATGTGCACCACTACTGAGCTACACCCTCAGCTCCCACAGAGAGATTCTCAAAAGTTAGTGCCCTTGAGATCTGCACTTTTCCCTTGAGGGAAAAGAAGGAAAGGGGAGGAGAAAAGAGGCGAGGAGAGGAGACAGGAGGGGGAAAGAAAGAATAGAAAAGGAGGTGTAGTTTGAATAAATGTCACCCAAGAGCCCTCAGGTTAAATAAAGGCTTTGTCCTCAGCCTGGCTCTACTAGAAGGTGCTGGAATCCTGTGAAGGTGAGGCCTAGTGAGAGGTTTCAGGTCCTAGCATAAAACTGGGCCGGAGGTGTGGCTCAAGTAGTAGAATGCCAGCTGTGAGCAAGACAGTGTTAGGAACAGGAGGCACTGAATTCAAGCCTGGGGAAAGAGAAGGGAAGGGAAGGGGAGGGGTGGGGAGGAAAGGGAAGGCAGCAAACAAGCCCTGTAAGACTTTGTAATACATTTCCTATGGCTGGGGCAGTACAAGGCCTTGTTCCTACCTTCAGTGAGGATAGAGCTAGAGGGATGATGGCTAAAGGTTAACAGGGCTTGCTTTATCAGGAGGAAGTGTGGAGACTGTGGGCTTGGGTCTCCAGAAGAGTGGAATGAATGTGGAGGGCCACCCAGGAGAACAAAGAGCACTGGCTCAGTCCAGGAGAATCTCTGCCCAGTTCAACACTCCATTCAGGAGCCATTTCCACAGGGAGGTGATGGCCACGCTCCATGACATTGCTTTAAATTTCTCCAAATCCTTTTTCTTCATATCCTACGAGCTGTTGACTCATAGATTTATTGAACGCCATCTTGAATCAATTTATAATTTCAGTGTGTTCTAATAGATTCCATATGGGTCTTAATTGACTTGAGCTGATCTGAATGTAACCCTTGTGTAGAGGCCGAGCTGGTTCACAGAGCCTTGGGGTCTTTATCTCTGGCTCTCACTATCTTTTCTCTGTGCTGCTGTCAAAAGTCTTTTTTTTTTTTTTGTAGAGAAAAATCTTTCCAATTCTGCTCTGTCTCCAACTCTTGCTTCCATTGCCCTGACTTTGGGCCCTGGTTCTTGCTTGAACAATTAAAGCTCAGGGGCATAGTGTCCTGGATTTTAGATATATGGAGTTCACATGCATGACCACCTTTGCAAAGCATTAGAACACAAGCCAGTTCCATTTTCCACACAAGGAAAAGGAGGTGCAGGGAGAAGCAGCCATCTTCCCCAGGTCACACAACTAGCCCACAGCCACCCTGGCAATGGTATGCCTCGATTCCCGCAAACACTACTTTCAGAACTATCAGGCTGCCTACCGAAGCCCATCTCAGCACCTCCAACCTCCTGATTTCATTTGAGGATTGACGGGCACTGACCTCACCCTCCTAGCTGGTCTCCCCCTGACCATCATCTTCATCAGGTTCAAACTCGGTGCCCCGATCTACCACATCCACACCGGCTTGCACTCTTGGCTTCTCATTTTCCCACTTGGCAAAGCCTTTGTCCTTGGCGGCTTTGTCATGGAACTTGGATTTCATTTTGGGAAACGTGTGGGACCCAGAATCCCCCCAGCTGGCTTCTGACCACACAGGTTCGGTCTGGGTGGCCTGGCTGGTGGTAGCCCGCTGAAGTCTCACGGAGATCTTACGAGAGGAGCCAGTGACCAGTGTGATTGCTCTGCTGTCCAGGTCCCGGTGTCCAGCAGTGACCCCAGGAAACTCAAACACTTCATCCTGCACTGTGAGGAGAAAGAGGAAGGTGAGTATTTGGCATCTGTTTGACAGCCTGCCTCCCAGGGGGTTACAGCAGGAGTCCCACATTCAAGGTCAAGGTTGGAGAGGAACACACCACGCGGGGGACAGACTACATTAGCTGCAGCTGAGTTGAGCCTTTAGCAGGACAACAACATAGAGAGAAAGTGAGGAGGATCAAGGAGGTTAGCCATGGACGCTCATTGGTGTTTCTACTAGACTCGGTTTAAACCAAGAACCTACATGAGGTCGAAGGGTGGAGAAGTGTGGCAGCCAGGAAAGCAGAGAGCATTACCTGGGGGCAATGAGGGGCTTCCTGGCAGTGATCCATGACTACTGCCCAAGGAGGGTGCCCGAGCAAGTCGCCTGCAGGCCAAGACCAGAAGGTCCTTGCACTGCTTGTGACAATTGGCTCCACAGTCTGAAAAAAAAATCCCAAGTGCATCATAGGTGGTGAGGGGGAAGGACATGGACCCGGTACTGACAGGGTTCTAGAATCTTCCCTCCCTTCCCCTCTTCTCCTTCAGACTGGGTTGGATCTCAAAGTCCTCCTTAGGCCCGCAGAGCGTTCTAGGGGTTGGAAAAGAGCCTTGGGCCTCTTCTTTGTTTCCTGTAGGAATAAAGTTCTCATAATTCCCTCAGCTTATTTCTCTATTCAAGTCACTGAAGTGTCTGCCGAGCAAACAAACAGAATCCAACCTGAGACATCTGTTTGCCTTTGCCTAAAGCTAACTGGACATTTGTATGGAGCCTCAGTTTCTCTTATTAGCAGGACCACCTGCTACCTCTCCATTAGGGCATAGTGTTGCTCCATTCCGTAAAATTCATTCCCATTTTCCAAGTACTTTTCCAGAGTCTGTGATTATATCTTCTGCTTCCTTTCATTGTATGGAAGTAGAAAACAAGGCTGGCTTCTGCTCCACATGGAGTCTATAGCTTTGCAGGGGAGAGCAGAATCTGAGACACCTCCCACAGCAAGGTCTGGTGAAGACAGTCAGATACTAACCAAGAACCAGCTCCTGCTTAAATAGCAATGATGTAGCATAAGCCTGGATAAACAAGTAATACATTTCTAATATGTATTACATATGGCATTTGCTAAATCCCTGTACATTTATAAATTTGTTTATAAATGTCAGTGAAATGGGGGCACTAAAAGTAAGCTCATTACAAGCAACCACGAGTGTAAAGGCTTCTCCTCTTCCACTACCCCTGTGATTTAGTAGAGAAGGGAGCAGAGAGGGAAAGAACAGCCTTCCTCTTCCAACAGTAGGTGTGGCTCCTTCCATTCTCTGCAGTATTTTAGTTAGGTAGGCCTGTCTCTCTTCAGAAATCCCTCAGTTCCAACCTTCACTGGTGCTGGTTCTCGAAGGATCATAGCGCTGAGGGATAAGCTGCAGTGTCATTAGGGGAATTTGCTGTCCTCTTTTCAACAAGCCATACAATTCACATTTTAGACAGGAAGGTCACAAATTTGTCACCAGTGTGGGCTTAAAAAGTGAATTCCAGCTGGGCGCCGGTGGCTCACTCTGTAATCCTAGCTACTCAGGAGGCTGAGATCTGAGATCACGGTTCAAAGCCGGCCTGGGCAGAAAACTCTGTGAGACTCTTCATCTCCAATTAACCACCAGGAAACCAGAAGTAGTGCTGTGGCTCAAGTGGTAGAGCGCTAGCCTTGAGCTGAAGAGCTGAGGGACAGCACCCAGGCCCAGAGTTCAAGCCCCATGACCACCACCACCAACAATAGAAGAAAAAAAAAAGTGAATTCCAAACATCCTGGGTTACACACATATCAAGATCCTGGGATAGGCCTGGAGAAAATGCCCTGAAGTGAATGAAGCAAATCAGGCCAGAGAGACAAGGGATGCGTGTTTTTCTCTGCTACATGGAAGCTAGAACTAAAATATTAATGTATACGAAAACACATACAGAGTTGTCTGCCAGGTGTCCACAAATGTATTCAACAAAATACGGTATTTTCAGGGGAGAATTCAGAAGGTGTAACTTCCTTAAAGACAAACTCACAATTCACCAGATGAAAACCAAGAAACTGGTACTTGAAAGGTGGAAGAGGGTAAAGAGAAGGAGGTAGAGGAATAAAGAGGGGAGGGAGGGTAGAATACACTCATAAAATGGCTTATCCTACAAAACTATGAACATTGAAGGGAGAGGACAGGTTGGGAGGGATGGGAAGAATGATGAAAGGAGTAATTTTGCCCAAGATGCATGCATTCCTAAACCGATTTGTTGAATGGTAACTCCTTTGTGCAATTACTTCAGGATAATACAAATATAATTTTTTAAAGACTCTGTTTTGAAAATTAAAATAAACAACCAATCAAAAAATTTCACATTTTACCTCTCCAAAACTGAGACTCTTTCCTGAACATAATATCTTATGTCATTCGTTCAAGAAAGACCCCCAATTCTAGATAATGCCAATTGCTTCAGTGGTTAAACCAGACTAATTGATTCCTATTGAAAATGTCAAAATACTTTTTTCAATGCTAACAAAAAAAACACCCACATTTATTTACCTTTGCATTTGTATCCTTGCTTGATGATGCCCCAGAGCTGTAACAAAAGACAAAGGAAAGTCAGGGAATCTGAAGAAAAATCTTGAAGGAAAACAGGGCTACAGAAAAGGATGTCCTGCAAACAGGATAATAAGAACACAAACAGGATGTAGCTGCTGGGGACACACTTCCTGTCTGAGAGGAAAGCCCTCCCCCAGTCTTTCCAGCTGTGGTGATGGGATGAGAATCTGAAGTTGGTACTTTGGTTATGAAATAGCCTCAGGAAAATTTACTGGGAGAGATGGCCACTTGGGGCTTCTAACAAGCCCCTCACTCTCCCTACCCTTCAATAATGATGCCCTTTGTGGGAAATAAAGTACTCTAAGAAGAGCACTGATTTGGATTCTGCCTCTATATTTTCTGAGTTTTACTTGTTCCTTGAGGAATCCAGAAGAGCAATGGGTTATATGTATTCATGGATTCAATATTCATATTTGCTCTATGTTTGATCCATGCCAGGGCAGTTGGAGACATCAAAAAGGCTTGGAATCTGCTAACCAAGATCAATGACTTCCAAGTGGTTGATAAGTGGGATGTGAGGATTAAATTAGAATTGCAAGAGACCAGTGTTTTGGACTAAGCTGCTGCACCGGGCCCCAACAGACCAGATTAAAATCAAAATGGAGTCACTCAGGTTCTATACCACCAAGCTGAAACGAAGTTGTTTATCAGACCTCCTCAGAAACCAGGAGGAATGAGAGATAACAGCTACATTTCCCAAACATCCAGTGTCAGTGGCCACAGTAATAAAGTTCTTTTTACTTATCCTAACAATCTGAAGAAAATATATTAACTAGTGGTTTTTCTCTTATTCTCTCTCCCTAACCCTGGCTTATAAGCAAATCAAGGGGCCAATCAGTTTTTAGCATTTATTTATTCATTATACTTAAGTAGTTGCACAAAGTGATTTCCACTCAACATGTCAGTCTGGGACTACAAAGCATCTTGATCAGTCTTACCCCTCTTATCCTTCTCCTCTATCTCTCCCAACCCTATGCATCCCCTCAGTTCACCTAATTCCATGTTTACTTATACACATTGAATATCATGACTGCATTTGCCCACCCTTCCTCTCTCCATTCCTCTATTTTCTTCAACCTCTCCCTGATTGTAAAACCAACCAGTGCTGCGTGGCTCTTATGGAATACTTATTCTATTATGGTTCTAGAATCCCAAACAAAGCCAAGTTGAATAGCCACAGCTAGCACTCTACCACTTGAGCCACATCACCACTTCTGGCTTTTTCTGCTTATGTGCCACTTCTGGCTTTTTCTGTTTATGTGGTACTGAGGAATCAAATCCAAGGCTTCGTGCTTGCTAGGCAAGCACTCTACCACTGAGCCATATTCCCAGCCCTCAGGAAGGGTTTAAAAGAAAATCTTTGCCCAGGAGTTCTGTGCTGTCATCCTGTTGGTGGTATCTTTACTGTCCTCTTGTAGGCTCCATTGAGTTCAAGGAAACCTTTCCAAGTCCTCCCTTCTCTCTGCCCACAGAGCTGAGCACAGGGAGAATGAGGGCTCAACTTAATTAAAGAGGCTTAGCTCAAGGTGAAAGACTTCCACTGCCAACATTTCCAGAGGTCAGGATAGGTGTGTGTTGTTTGCTTAATGAAATGATGTGGAAAGAAGTAGGATCAGTGGCCTCCTGGGGCTTGTGAACATTTTCATAATGTATCTCAGGCCATTGCAGCCCCCAAGTGTGGGAATCATGGCCCTAGGGAAAGAACAAGTGAATTCCAACGCACAGTGACTCAGGACAGCAGCTAGACTGTTCTTTAACGTTTTCCTAACAACGAAATCCCACCAGTGGAAAACCCAGCCCTTCTGCGAGCCTCAAGGGTTACTTAAAATGCTTTATTAAGGGCTGGCCGTGGCACAGTGAATGAGTGCTTGCCTAACCCTGGGTTCAAGCCCCAGTCCCACAAATGAAAAAGCTTCCTCCTGCCAACAAGAAAAACAACCATCAAAGGCAGAGATCCTCCCAGACTCTTACCATTATAGGGAAAATATGGTGGATTTGTGTGGGTTTCATCAGAATACATTATTAAGGTGCAAACACCTCCTGAGACAGGGCAACCCTCTGCCTAGGGGCTAGGAAGAATTATTTGACAACTGAATGGCTGAAAGCCCTAGAAGCAGAGGATGACCGGAAAAGGGGTGGGGGACTGGAAAGAGAAGTGGGTGGTCAGGAGAGTCATGCTTTGTCTAACCCACAAGGATCTGAAGAGGATAGCCAGCTGGCTTCTCCTTTATAAAAGGTGAATATGATGATCCAGGAAATAAATGATCTGTCAGGTTCTACCACATGGAGAACTTTGTAGTGATAAAAAAGATTCTCTGCTGGAATAGCTTGTAATAGGAATAGGTAATGATGATAGCTAACGTTTATTGATCTCGTGTTATGTGAAAGGCACAGTTTAAAGCTCTTAATATGTATTCACCTACTTGATGTTCATGATGGCCTTTTGAGACAGTATTTTCTTCATCTTTACAAGGTGTCATAGCTAGTAAGTAAGGGAGACTGTGTCACCTAAGGAAAACAGAGGAGGGTATTGTTTCTGGTGGTCTGCATGTTAGCAAACCCAGGGCAGTGGGCAGAAAGAATGACTTAAGTACAACTTTGTAGGGAATAGCGGAGTACACACCTGTAATCCTAGCACTAGGGAGCCGGGGCAGGAGGCTAGCTTAAGCTAACTAGTGAGACAATGGAGGGATATGTACTAAAATTCAGGACCTAGCAGGAGGGAAAGTGAGCACATTGTTTCCCAATGCTCACCTGACCACCATGAGAAAACACTAGCCAGGGAGAAGAACTGACTCAGTGTACCAGGCAAGGAAAGTAGAAGGTGAACTCATGTAGATGGGTATCAGGAGTATTTCCCACAATCCTTTGTCCTGAGATTAAAGGCTGCGGTAATATTTGGAGGAATTCTTCATGATGTCAGGAGCGCTGGACTGACCATCACGAGCCCTGGCTATGATGCATGGTCCTGCTGCTAATTGCCCATGTGCCCTCCAGGAAGTCACCTTAACTTCTCCAGATCTCAGTGTCTTCATTTATAAAATATGGGGATTACCAACATTCATTCAATCCCGGATTCCTAATTCAGACATGTATCGCAGGGAAAGTAGAATCTGTCCTCCTTACCCTTAAAATAGAATCTATTTTCAAAAAACGAAAAGCCAAGGCGACTGGGAAATGGTCTCTTGCATTTCTTCACAATTTCTTTCAATGATGTATCTTTAGAGTTCTATTCATAGATTCCTTTTTTTTAAAAAAAGGCAATCTTTTTATGTTTGTAAATTAATTAAATTAAATAAAACTGTACCAATGGAATTAAGTACATTTAAAAAATATAAAGGATTATAAAAACTAAAGATGGCCTACTTTCAGAATTCTAAGAGTGTCAAGGAATGCTTAAAAAGGAATATAGCAAACATCCCATGATATTTTCTTTTTATTTATTTTATTTTCTTTTTTAAATTTATTTATTTTTATTGTGAAAATACCATACAGAGGGGTTACAATTACACGGGCAAGATCATGAGTACATTTCTTATCAAGCATTGATGCCTCCTCCTTTGTTTCCCCTTCCTATCCCTTCCCCCCGCCATGATATTTTCTTTGCAGCAGCATGTCTGGTGTTAACTTGATCACTACAATAATAACATGGTGGCTAAGTGTTCTGTGGAGTCCCTTTTGCAGGTAGGAAACAGAGACTCAGAGACCTTATTCAAGGACATAGAATTAGACATAGAGGGCAGAACTGAGATTCAAACCCCTGGGTTCCAGACTCCAAGTCCAGGGCTTTCTACTTCATCTCAGCTGTATGAAGGGCCATTCAGCACTAGCACTGATGCTCTCATGAGTCTAAAAGAGCAGAGTTGATCATCATCACACCTCACCATAGGACAGATGACTTATCCTAACCATGGGGGAACCATGCCAGAGCATCATTGCTACTTGGTCAGTTGTTGGAGGTTGGACTTTTACAGGACAGCATTATACCCAGCCCATCCTACTTAAGCTCTATTTTGTTTATTTGCTTGCTTTTTGGTGTTCTTTTTTTTAGGGTTTTTTATTGTTTGTTTTTTGGTGCTGGTCCTGGGGCTTGAACTTAGGGCCTGGGCACTGTCTCTGAGTTTATTTTTGCGCAAGGCTAGCTAGTGTTCTGCCACTGGAGTCATAGCTCCACTTCTGGCTTTTTATGGTGCTGAACTGGAAATAAGGGTCTCACAGACTTTTGTGCCTGGCTGGCTTTGAACTGTGATCCTCAGACTGAAGCCTCCCAAGTAGCTAGGATTATAGCTATGAGCCAATAGTACCTAGATGCCTCAACATTTTTTTTAAGGTTGTGCCTTTATTTTTTATTTTGCCAGTCCTGGAGCTTGTCCCTGAGTTTCTTTTGCTCTAGGCATTCTACCACTTGAGCCACAGTACCACTTCCACGTTTTTCTGTTTATGTGTTACTAAGGAGTTGAACCCAGGGCTTCATGCATGCTAGGCAAGCACTCTTCCACGAAGCCACATTCCCAGCCCCTGCCTCGGCATCTTTTTAAACTTTAAATCATAATAGAAAAACTAGAGACACATTTATTTTCGGCTGGAGTGGTCTGGTCATGCACTAACAGAAGAGGAAGTTTTTCCTCCTTAGGGTGGGTGAAGACTAATTAGGCTGGTCTTTTCTCATAACCACTGGAGTTTCTTATGACCACCTGGGGCCATCTTTGAGTTGACAGCTACCTCTTATTTATCTGTTTCCAGGAGGAAGTCTGCTTGAAAACAAATGCCTAACTTTAGACTCCTCAAGCCAGCCAGGGCAGAAAAGTAGGTGAGAGTTTTATCGCCAATAAACTACTCAGAAAAAACTGGGACTGGCACTGTGGCTCAAGTGGGGTAGAACGCTAGCTTTTAGCACAAAGAGGCTCAGGGACAGTACCCAGGCCCTGAGTTCAAGCCCCAGGATCAGAAAAGAAAAAAAAAATAGGTTAAGTAAGTGGTATTTATTTATTCTTACTACCATCATCTTCTCTCCAAAGATTTATTTTTTCCCTGTTTAAATTGGGAGTTATTAAGCTACACCAGGATGGGTTTGTAGTGATGAATACACTCTTAGATAAGTGCTAGAAGGAACTGGTTAACATTAGTGCTCCCCTTAATTGTCGTCATTTATGCATCCCAATGCTGAATGCCAGTACTCTTTGTTTGACATCTTTCCCTGGCCTAGGTTAGACAGAAAAACCACTTTCTTGGACTAAGAGGCCTCACCAGCCTTCCCTGTCTTGGCTAGCTCTACATACCTAGACTATGGCTAACCTCACGGGTCTTGCTTTGGTTTTGACTGAGTCTTAGATTTTAAGGAGCCGCCATGTTTTACTTTTGATTTAAAGCAGATGATGGGTGGATTCTATTCAGTCTACCCTTCCTTACCTTATTGGAATATGACAAAAATAACTACATATAAGGGAAATTAAAAAAAAACATAATGGAAAGCAAACTTACAAATCCTGCACAGTGTTCGCAGAAGGTTGGCTTGAGGTAAGTCATCTCCTGAAAGTTATGGACAAATCCTGGTCCCATTTTACAGTGTAGTTGGGATTTAGCTCTCAGGAAGTAAGCCATCATTTCATCTTTACTAATTAGGCCATCCCTGTGAGGAGAATCAGAGAAGGGATCTTTGAGTATCATATTGCTAAGTCGTTGCCATACTTCAATCTCAAATCTTTGTCACCAAAACCAGATGAAGAGTGTTCTTTTCCCTGTCACCTCTGGAAGAAGGGGAGGACTTCAGAGGACAGTATCCAACATTCAAAGCCATTTTCAAGAACTGGAAGATGGTGTGTGCATGCGTGTATAAGTGTGTGCGCATACACAGGATCATACATATGTGTGAACACATGTGGCCTGTGTACTTGGGCTCAGTAAGTCTCCTTTATTACTGAATAGCGGCTTCCAGAGGGACATTTCTCTAGCCCTTTCCTAGCAAGAGGATTTCAAGAATCATGCTTCTGGGGAAAGGTAGGAGACTCAATTAATACAACCCACCATTTAAACTGATACCATGGGCTACATCTTCAGTGATCTCATTCACATGCTTGTGGCTCACAGCCCAGTCACTGGAGTGATTGTTCCAGATCTCCTCCAAGTAGAACAAAGTCTAGTTCCAAACACTTCCCTACTCCCCAGCAAACTACAGACCCTGGCTGCTTGCTTATCCAAAAAAAAAAAAAAAAAAGATCAAATCCCTATGACAAAGGTGAACTCCATACTGTTCTTTCTCCACAGAAGCATGTGTTGGAGATCAGATTTTTCTTGCCCATTTGGAATTCTTTTACATCTTCTCTGTCCTCACTTGGGTCTTCCTGTGACACAGGAAGGGGGATTCCTCCATTCTTCACTTCTGTGGAACTCTGTACCTACTAGGCCCTGAGATATCTATTCACTTGGTTTTTTTCTTAGTTTGCAAATAGGACTTTCTCTTCCTGAAACTCTCTTCTCAGTGGTGATACCACATCCCACACTTGTCCTTTCTCTCTTCCTGTTCTCACTCCCACTGTTTTCAAACCCAGCACTCATCAGACTCTTGATTCATACAGTTTCATTTCTAACCTTTCCATCCTACAGAAACTGTTCTTGGTGGCTGTTTCTCATTCTTGGAAGTTCCTAATCTCTTGGAAGCTGGTGGCCTGGGGACGTACTTCCTTGAACTCCCTGCTCCATAAATGGAGTGATTCCATGTCGTCCTGGTTTTCTTCCTTTCCTCTCATGCTTTCTCTTCTCTGGCTCTTCCGCAGGCTCCACTTAATGTGTTCAGCTTCAACATGTAGGGAAGGGAGGTTCCCTGCAGGTGCATTCCTCAGACCCTCAGCTCACCTCCGCTAACTTCCCCATTGCCGTGGTCTGGGTTCTCCTGATTCTAGCTAATTCTGCTGAAGGCTTAGTCTATGTCTCCACCCATGATTGAGCTCCTGAATCTTGAACCACAGTCTTCAAAAAAGTTTCTAGATGTTTCTCTTTGCTATTTTCTCTCAAAATCAACCTGTCTAAGCCAAACTCTTCATCCATTTTTTCCCCCAATATGTCTTATCCCAGGCCCCAGGTACTATTAGCCATGATACTTTTCTCCCAGATATAAAAATTTCTGACCCTATTCTTGCTTTATATTCTAAAAAACTTGAGAACTACTTAACAAATCTTATTAATGAAATTAATAAACTGTATTAAAATGAAATTAATTCTACTAATAACTATTAATTTTACATTTTTATCAATATGGTTTCCTAATTAAATTTCTAAAAATTTAAAAGCCATCTAGTGTCTTACCTACCTCCAGAAAAATGTGTTAAGTGATCTCTACTAAATCGCAAACACACGTAAAGGGAGTCTGGTGCTGGAGCTTGAATTCAGGGCCTGTGTGCTGCCCCTTACCTTTTCTGCTCATGGCTGGCACTCTACCACCTGAACTACAGTCCCACTTTTGGCTCTTTGTGGTTAAGAGTCTCACGGACTTTCCTGTGACCTGGCTTCAAACTGTGAACCTCAGATCTCAGACTCCTCAATAGCTAGGATTATGGGCATCAACCACAGGTGGCCAGTGGAGCCTCAGTTCTTCTGTACAGTTGGGAGATTACATAGATGAATCAAAAAATGAGAGAATGGGGGAGGAGAAGAATACAGAAAGAATCACTGAGTCCTACAACCCCAAGGGCATTTATATTACTAGAATATAAAGTGAGTAGCATCCTGAAACACAACCATCAGGCAGCAACATGGCTCAATATTGTCCATGGGTTGACACACAGAAAAAGGAGGAATGGATGCTGTTGCCTAGCATGCGCAACATGTTTCATCATGTAAAGCTAATGCTGAAAGTATCTGTCAAAGCGCTGTATAGTGGCTCATGGCTGTAATCCCGGTACTGTGAAGTTTGAGCAGGAAGATGTCACATTCAAGGCCATCCTAGACTAGCAGAAGATCTTGTGAAATGAAGGAGGGAGGGAGGGAGGGAGGGAAGGAAGGAAAAAAGAAAGGTGAAGGAAGGAAGGAAGGAAGGAAGGAAGGAAGGAAGGAAGGAAGGAAGGAGAAGGGACGGGAAGGGAAGGAAAGGGAAGGGAAGGGAGGGCAGAAGGAAGGACAGGAAGGAAAGAGGGAAGGAAGGAAGAAGGTGCTGAGCCAATGCTACAATTCCCAGTTCTTTAGTCTAGGTAGGGCCATGTGATTCTCAACCACCCTAACAACTTGAATGCGTGTGACATGTGATACTTGTCCAGATGTGAACATGGAACTCCAGGAAGCCAGAGATGTGTAAAGGGGCCTCGTCCATGCGTTACCCAAAGGAATGTTGACCAGTCATCCAGAACACGGGGCTCACATGAATGGGAAAAACGTGAGTGGGCCACACAAGTGAAAAGTCAGGGTTTGCTGCAAAGCTGCTGCTTTGTCACTAAGTACCCTTGGAAACATCCAGGGTCCCTCCTGCTTCAGCCCACAGTAAGGGTCTTCATAGCATGAAGCTGGTTTCTGTGGCAGTCAGGACAGGCTCTGGCCTTGACTCGGAGAGTCTACCGCACTCACATCCTGCCTCCATGTGCTGATCAGAGGCAGACTATCTCTAGCCCTCAAGTGAAGTTCTGTCAGGCTTTCTGATGGAATGAAGTTTTACTCCCAATATGGCCTATAACCTATGATTTCTTCCCAATAGAGTCTTCCAGATGAAAGTTCCCACAGAGACTTCTGTGGAAACACAGATCCTTGAGGTGCTAATAGAAAATGCTCAGAGAGTTCATTATTATATACGTAGGTAAATACACCTGGAAAATGGGGTGTTATCCCAACACGCCTGAAGAGAGCGGCAACACATCTTAGCCCATTAAAATTTTGGAGAAGTATTGCAGTGAAGACATCCTTTGATTAGATTTAACCCCATATGTCCCACACTCTCTTAGGTAAGGGCTGTTCCAAAAAGACTAATAGCTAGCTCTGTGTCACAGAGTTTGGAAAACAATAGAGAAATTATCCATTTGAGACTTGCCTGTTTGAACCCACCCAAATTCCCATCAACTATGGTGAAGTTTGAGGTATTCATGTAAGGTATCACAGTGTCTGGCAAAAGAAGTCCTATGAGAAAACCAGGAGAAGTTCAACATTTCATTCTGAGAGAAAACCCATTTCTGTAGCTAACCATGAATATTAATGGATAGAAACGTATCACAGAGTCAGAGTCAGAGCCGCAGAGAAAAGGTAGGCAGGCAGAAAGTGATCTGAAGTCCATGTCCTGTTTACCTGTGATAGATAATAAACTAGGGAAAGAATAGGTAGTCGGCAGATAATTTAAATTTTACTTGGTAAGCTGGGTGCCGGTGGCTCATTCCTATAAACCTAGCTACTCAGGAGGCTGAGGTCTGAGGATCGCAGTTCAAAGCCAGCCTGGGCAGGAGAGTCTGTAAGACTCTTATCTCCACTTAACCACCAGAAAACTGGAAGTGGCACTGTGGCTCCAGTGATAAACTGCTAGCCTTGAGCTGAAGAGCTGAGGGACAGCTCCCAGGCCCAGAGTTCAAGCGCCAACACCAATCTCTCCCACAAAAAAAAATTTTACTTTGCAACGTTTCTCATTATTTCAATTGTTTCAAAGGTATTTGTTTTGGGATGTAGAGTAAAGATAAATTTTAAGTTCTTTGTGTTCAGGCATCAAGGCTTCAGAAGGACTTACAGATTAAAAACATTTTTTCATACTGACAAAAATGTGTTTAAACTCATCAAATTAGTTGAATGTGACTTAATCTGAACATTTCATCAATATAAAAAATCAGAATTTTATTATAGATGGTTATTTCTAACTCAGGGCCTCATGCTTGCTTTGCTTGCTCACTGGGCTGGCAATCTACCACTTGAACCATGCTATTTTGGAGATGTAGTTTCAAGGACTTTTCTGCCCAGGCTGACCTTAAACCATGTTTCTTCAGATGTCAGTTTCCAGAGTAGCTAGGCTTATAAGCCCATATAGATGATTTTTCAAATTAAGCATTAATCTCACACTTAGAAATTAATTAGTCTCTAATTCTCAAGTTCATGACCAATTTGAGCTACATAATGACCTGTCTCAAAAAAAAAAAACCAAACAAACCTAATAAAACTATTTATGTCAGTCTTCCCAGCAATTATTTTAAGTATTTTTAAAAATGAGTTTGATGTTTGCTCTTAAGGCCATTAAATGTTTCAGGAATCATTTCAAGTGAAAGAAACTATATTTTCTTTGTTTACAAAGACTCAAAATATGGCTACTATCAGCAATTACCATCTACTTTCATGGAGATCATAAATAATCTAAAACAAAAATATCTCCTCACACACAAGTTTTGAGATTATCCTCAGGTCTACCCATGCTGTGGGCTCTCCAAAGCAGATATAACTGCATCTTTCCTGACAGAGATTTGCTTGGAGTCAATAGCTAAGCAGAAGAAGTGAAAGAAATGGACAGCAAAGGTTAATTTGTAAATGGACACAAGGATATGGTCTGCCCTGTGACCCCCTTCACCTGGTCATGGTCCTGGATGCCAAAAAAGCAACCACTAACAAGACAGATTTGCTGGGAGCTGGTGGCTCAAACCTGTAATCCTAGCTACTCAGGAGTCTGAGATCTGAGGATTGAGGTTCAAAACCACCCCAGGCAGGCTGAGACTCTTAAGCTCTGATTAAACACCAGAAAACCAGATGTGACACTGTGGCTCAAAGTAGTAGAGCACTAGCCTTGAGCAAAGAGCTCAGGGACAGTGCCCAGGCCCAGAGTTCAAGCCCCACGACCTACAAAAAAAAAAAAAAATAAGGCAGATTTGACACACTTGAAGCTGTCAAGATGTAAGTGATAGGTGGTCCTGTTTCCCTGTGAGATTTTTTTCATTAAAAAAATAACAAACTTTGGTAGCCAGGCATTGGTGACTCGACACCTAGAACCGTCCCTACTTCGGAGGTTGATATCAGGAGGATCACAGTTTGACGCCAATCCAGGCAGAAGACTCCCAAGACTTCATCTCAACAACATGCTAATTGGGAGACATGACTCAAGTAGTAAATTACCAGCTGAGTAAGCATGCTAAACAAGAGCCGAATTCTGAGTCTAAGCCCTAATAGTGGCAAAAAAATTGGGGGTGAGGATGTACTTCAGTGGTAGGACGTTTGCGTGTACACCTTGGTTTTCATCCTCAGTTCTGTGGGATTTTTTTTTTAACTTACTGATCTTTATCCAGCACACAGAAGGAATCCAGGAAGGGAAAGTTGGCGGCTATACTTTCAAAGTCCTCTTGGGAGATGTATCCGTCATGGTCATGATCGTAGTTTCTAAACACAGACTACAAGAGGAAGACAGCATTTACTGAGTGACGATGTATGAGTTGGGCTGGAGACTTGTCAAGAATGTATGCTGTCCTACATATGTATGTCCTACATGTGTATGTTGCCAATTACGAAAGCACTTACCAGCCATTCTCTCAAGGACTTTCAGAATCTAGGGGGAGATAAGAAAAATACAAAATCCTTCACAGTATCAGGTAAGGGGTTTGTTGAGGGGAAAAGCTCTAGGAGGGAAGGGGTGTAAATTAAGAAAGACTTCAAGTGAAGTCTACACGAAGTCCTCTGCTTTGAGCAGGAGTTAGGCCTAGTCAATTTACAAATACCATGACACTAGAAAATGAAGCTTTAAGTTGTTGAATTATCTGGGGCAGATAAACACAGAGTATAAGTAAGGAGAAAGGTTCAATCCTAAAATTTTTTTAAAAGGTAGGGAAGGGGTGGATTGGGTTGGGAGGGAAGGGTTAGAACGTTAAGTGACATTGCTCAAGATGCATTGTATTTTTTTTCATATACTGCTTTGTAAAATGATAACTCTTTTGGACAACTACTTAGCACTAATAAAAATATGTAAAAATATCTCAGAAATCAAAAGTCAATGTTGATTACAATTCCAACCAAATTCCCAGTTGAACTTCTTTTTAAAATTTTCATTAGCTAGCTAGCTAGCTAGCTATCTCTATCTGGGTGTGTCTATAAGTGTGGGTATGTATGTATGTATTTATTTAGGAATGAACACACTGATGCTAAAGTTCAAGGAGAAGTTAATATGTTAATAGCCTAAAGAAGATTCACAATGAACGTAATCGGAAAGAAAGCATCCTTTTCACAAACCAAACATTCTAAGAAGCTATAATCATAAAACAAAATGTGAGTAGTGAAAGAAATGGACAGCAGGGAAAATTTGCAAATGCTCAATTATTCTTAGCACACAGCTATGGTCTGCCTGCTGATTCCTTCCGCTGCTAATGCTCATGGTCATCAAGCAAACAACCATTGAAAAGTTAGACGTTATCTCACAAGGGTTGAAGCTGGCAAATCAGTTAAAGGTGCTCCTTTTCCCCCTCTAAAAATTTTTCTTTAGGATAGTTGCATTGAAAAATAACAAAATGGCCGGGAGCTCATAGCTCACACCTGTAATCCTAGCTATTCAGGAGGCTGAGATCCGAGGATGGTGGTTTGAAGCTAGCTGGGGCAAGTAAGTCCATGAGACTCTTAGCTCCAATTAAGTATCAAAATCTTGGAAGTAGAGCTGTGGCTAAAAATGGTAAAGTACTAGCCTTGACCAAAACACTCAGGGACAGCACCCAGACGTTGAGTCTAAGCCCTACAACCAAAAAAAGAAAAAAGAAAGTGTCACATCCATAGGATTTGAAATGATAGATTATCTAGTAATTGCTGTTGAGTTAAATATCTAAAATCTTTCAAAATAAACTGTCCCAAGATACTAGGTATGTAAAATATGTTAGTGCAAAAATGCAAAAAATGTTAATGTAATAAAAAATCCAGAGGTAAGTGGATGAAAATACATTTCATGTTTTGTATGCTTTAAGTGAGAGAGGGCTTTCTTTTTGAGACAGTCTTGCTATGTAGGCCCAGCTGTCCTGGGATTTTTCATCTTCCCAGTTGCACTTTCTGTGTGCATCACTGTGCCTTTCTAACCGTCACACACTCCAAAAAATGTTCCTTTTCAGTATTGCACATTTCCCTGGGTTACCAAGATGTAGGATGTTATTTCTTTTTCTTTAAATATCCTTTCCCAGTAAAAGTACACTCTACCACACAGACTAACCCTTACTGTACCTGAGGATATATCAACCCAAGAAAGCAGGCAGTTAAACAGGCCAAGATCACAGTTTCCAGTGCTAAAGATTATTCCCTTTCTCCATATTGGTGCTTTTACTGGTCTATTTATTGTTGTTTTGAGACAGGATCTCACTGTGTAGCCCAGTGGCCTCAAACTCATGATCCTTCTGGCCTCCAACTTCCAAGTGCTGGGATTACAGTCATGTACCACCATGCTAGACTCTACTATTCTATCTATATTTAAAAAAATCTTCCAGATCTTGTGTATATGAAGTGATTTTTCTGCCCTCAATGGCATAAGGTTCCTGTCCCAGACCCCTAAAAAATATATTGGTTATAAATACAGGAGTATTTATCTGGCATTTTACTGTGACTCATGGGTTCTCTTTACTGTGACTGTGGGTTCTTCATGAAGGATACTAAGACCCCTCCCATAGCCCCATCCCCCAAGCTTTTCAAAATTAGAAGCAATGGGAAGTGGCAAGAGAGAAGAGCGAAATATCTGAGAATATTTGGCAGATGAGAACACACTGAAAAGAGAGAGAAGGAGGCATTTGGGGGTGGGCACCTCTTTGCCCGTCCAGAGGACAAGGCCAAGAGGACCTAAATGTCTGTCAACTTGTTTTGGCTTTCCTGTTTTCATGGCTTCCCTTTCATCTAATCTCTGGACCAATCACAGAACAATTCTGGAAAGAGAAAAGGAACTTCTAGAACTTTCTGTGTGTTCTCTTTGAATCACCACTCACCTCCACCAGTTTCCGTATATGCTTGTTGATGACTGTGGGGTCTGGCTTTGGCACTACCCCTGATGCCCACTCCAGGGGCACCACAGGCTTGGTGGGCGTCGTCGGGGAGGTAGGCTGCAGAGAGGAGACACACATTTTTCAACTTTAGCTGGATTGGAGCTATTAGTACCAGGGACACTGAGAAAGACGGTCCCATATGTTAATTATTGCAGTGAGAATTTCCACTCACACCGCCACTTCAATGTTGACAAAATAAGCATCCTTTGTTAATGGGCTCCACTATTCAGATACTGAGTTTTGTTTAGTAGCAATCTACTTCGTTTATTTTAATTTTATGTGTTTACATTCGAGTTTTTGAGATAGCATCTTGCTATGTAACCACAGCTGGCCTCAAATTTGCCACATTCCTGCCTCAGCCTGGAAATGCTAGGATTACAAGCATGGTATTACATACCATCCCTGGCTCATTCTATTACTGAATGCCCTCCCAGCCAGGCACCAGTGGCTCATGAGCCCGGTGCTAGTGGCTCACACCTGTAATCCTACCTAATCAGGAGACTGAGATCTGAGGATCGTTGTTCAAAGCCAGCCCTGGCAGAAAGTCCATGAGACTCAGAAGTGGTGCTGTGGCTCAAGTGGTAGAGCACTTGCCTTGAGTGGAAGAGCTCAGGGACAGTGCCCAGGCCCAGAGTTCAAGCCCCATGACTGACAAAAAAAAATGCCTTCCCAACCCATCCAAATTCCATTCAAGTTCCCTAAATGCCACTAAGTCATCTTTAAATGGATATATAACAATCCAATATGGCTCCTCATATGATCTAAGTTATATTTTAAAATAGTTATCAAGTTGAGCACCTGTAAGTTGATTACACCTGTAATCCTAGCACTGAGGAGGCTGAGGCAAGAGGATTATAAACCAAAGGTTGGGCTATAGACTAGAATCTTGTCTCAAAAAAAAGCAGCATTTATCTAATTTCTTTTTTTTTTTTTTTGGTCTGGTCGTGGGGCTTGAACTCTGGGCCTGGGCGCTGTCCCTCAGCTCTTCAGCTCAAGGCGAGCGCTCTACCACTTGAGACACAGCGCCACTTCCAGTTTTCTGGTGGTTTATTGGAGATAGGAGTCTCACGGTCTCTCCTGCCCGGGCTAGCTTTGAACCGCGATCCTCAGATCTCAGCCTCCTGAGTAGCTAGGATTACAGGTGTGAGCCACCAGCGCCCAGCTTTATCTAATTTCTTGAAGTAGCTGGGCAAAGGAGTTTCCACTTAGCAAAGCAGCTCATGGATAAAATATATCTTGATCAATCTCACCCCTTTCAACATCCTCATCCATCCCTACCAATCACCCCTTCCCTTGCTCTTCTTAATTTTGTATAATATACATTAGATTCTTGTCTACCTCTTCCCTCTCTTCATTTGTTTATGCCTTTCCCCTGACACTACCCTGCCCACTTTGAGTAACCACTTCTTGGGTGTCTTATTTTGGTGAACTTTGATTTGGGCTTCCAAAGGAATTTCACTATTGAGACATTTCTCTATTTTTTTCTTTATTTTTTAATACTTGTTATCAGTGATAAATTTGCACTAGAAGATACATGTAAATCAATGGACCCCAGTGTGCATGGCCAAGCACATATCCTTTGCATCTTGCTTAGCGTGCTTAATCACTCTGTTCTGCAGATCTTTATGTTTCTTTTTTTCTTTTTTTTTTTGGGTCCGGTCGTGGGGCCTGAACTCTGGGCCTGGGTGCTGTCCCTCAGCTCTTCAGCTCAAGGCTAGCACTCTACCACTTGAGCCACAGTGCCACTTCCGGCTTTTTTCTTTTTGCTTATGTGGTGCGGAGGAATCGAACCCAGGGCCTCAGGCATGCAAGGCAAGCGCTCTACCACTGAGCCACCTTCCCAGCCCCAGATCTTTATGTTTCTACATCTCTGGGGTACTTGCTTTCTCCCTGGGTTCTTCTGTACTTCAGGATATTTAAACTCACCACGGGGAAGATGTGGCAATACCGCACAGTACAGGATGACGCCCAGCCTATCCTATCCGGAGCCTCATGCATCATGGATACCTTCCTGACCCTGCGACCCACACACTGGTCACACGTATGCGTGAACCTCTATCAGCAGAGTCAGCGTGGTGATGAATTGGGGGTTACACATGTTTGTAAGAGGAACTGAGAAATCACTAGGACACAAGTCCCAAGCAATTCTGTGAGGTGTGCGTGTGATTAGTGCTATGTCAATGACTAACAGGATCAAAAATACCCTACCCATTTGGACCCATTCATGGACACACACACTCACTCACTCACCTGATCCCCTCCCCCTCCCCACACATGCTTGGGGCCCTTTCCATTCACACTCTGAGCTGACGGATCTAGTAGAATATAGAGCTGAGTTCCATACTGTACAGCAAAGTCTGCCCGAGAACTGTGGTATATCTCAAGAGCACCCAAAGGTATTTCAAAGTTCCAAATGAAGTTCAGCCAGCCACCCTCCATATTTGTCAGGTGCCACAAAACAACCACCTCAAAGCAACGCACACAGTTTCTTTTCCAGGTCCCACAATGGTAGCTTACAATAGTATCGTAACTTTGTGAAGAAAAAAAAAATCAATGCAAAGCAAGAAAAAAAAAGCGGGGGGCTTTCACCTCCAATTTGAATGTAGGACAATAAGTTAGTGTGCAACAGACACACACATCTACTAGTAAGAATTGTGTTTCTCTATGAAGGCGGTAAACACACTTACCTGACTTTCTGCTTACATACATTCTTTTGAAGATAGCCACTAAATTGTTAGAACACAAATATTCATTAAGTCAATTGGGCCTCACTATTCTCTAAGTATCACTGGTGGGTATTTCTTTGATTTAAGGTACCCTAAAAAAATCTGTAGGTACACAGAGTTAGCAAGACTCTGGGAACAGAAACAGAGACCTTCTGGGACTGCCTATTGAGGTGAGGTCAGCTAGTGCCACCTCTAAGACCTTCAAGCCACCTGTTCTGAGTAACAGAATCCTGTCTAGAAATTACTCTTTGGTCATCAGCAGAGTCAGAAAGAGACCTAGGATTTTAACACTTGTTCAAAACAGCTTTGAAAACTTGTACTCTTATAGCAAATTGGCTTTTCTATGCTTGTTAGTAATGTCTCTTACATTAGCAAAAAAAAAACTTACCCCAGAAAATCAAATGAAGCATAAAGTAACGTTCCTGTGACCCTTTCCTACCCTGTTCCTGCTGCAAAGACAGCAGAGAAGGCACAGACACAGGCCTGAGACTGAATCCCTGGGGCCAGCTTAGGGGCATCTGTACTCTGCTGGCCTGGTTTCCTAAACAGAGATAGCATAACTCGGATGTGATGCCCTGCAGGCTTCCAGTGACAGGGAGCAAATAACAGCACATGGGGAAAGGGAAGGGAGGTGTCCCAAGGTAGAACATCTGTCTCCGTGCAATCCTAACACACCCTAGCCAGGCTCTCTGTACTAACCCCACAGGTGAGATGGAAGATTACAAATTCTCGTGCCTCCATCAGGCTAACTTTGAACAACCTTGTTCCCACTCCTCCCTTTGAGTCTGTGGAACCTTCCCACGGGGTTCTGTTCTCCAGTGTTCCCAGGAGATGGCCTCTGGGGACTGGTGAAGGGAACTCTGGGAACATTATTCCAAGAACAGGTTCTGAGAGGTCAGTTAACTTAGACTCTAGGGTAGTTCTACCAGCTCTGTCAGTTGCTTTCACTCACTCCAACGGTTTGGAATTGAACTAGTTACTCGTTATTACTAGATTTAGTTATTGCTAGATTTAGTGGCCATCGTTGCTAACCTTCCACAGAACCACCTATTTAAAAGGCTGTGATGAAAACTTCTGAAAGAAAACTCCTCTTGGGGCTGGAAATGGAGCTTAAGAGGTTGAGCAGTTGCCTACCAAGTGTAAAGTTCAAACCCCAGAGTGGGGGGGGGAGGGGGAGAAGGGGGGAGGGGAGAGAGAAAAGGGGGAGAGAGAGGGCCATTATTTTGAGCTATGACTAGAAGGAAAAAACACAGACACTTTTATCTTCCAATATGCAAACTGCATCTACATTGTAAACTTTAAAACACATTTTGGCTTTAAAAAAATGATGTTGGGTTTTGAATCCAGGGCCTCACCCATACTAGGCAAGCACTCTACTACTGAAGCTACCCTAGCTGACCCAATTTCTATCCAGGTGTTTTCTTTCACTGTAAAACATTTCTAAATATAGCAGTAAACATTTAGGGAAGACATTCTTCAATCTCATTGCAAGTGTTGATTTATAATGGGCCAGCCATCAATTAAATAAGACACTATCCAATGTGATGCTGGAATTCTGAGTCAACTTTTACAATCACTAATAGAGAACTCTGTGAATTATAAATTAAAATCAAAGTATTTAAAATTTCTTAAATCTAGTGTTATAGTGAATGGAGATTTACAAGGCCTAGGAGGTTACAGTGATTTTAAACAGTAAGATGAGTTCTTTTTTATTCCCTTTGGTCCTAGGTAGAGGGATGATAAGAAATAGAAGATTGATAATAAAATGGAGTGATGGCAAAATATTCTTCCTCTTTATTAGCCTGGTATATGAAGAAATCATTTGCAAGCTATCAGAGCTAAACTGCTGTGCCAGTAAAGTGGGAATAATTCCTTTTTTTGTTTTGTTAGTACCAGAGTTTGAACTCAGGGTCTTGTGCTTGCTCAGCTTGCTTGTTTAGTGAGCACTCTACCACTTGAGATATGTCTCCAGTCCAGCCTTTTGCTGGTAATTAGAAATGCAGTCTCTCAGAGTTTTCTGTCCAGGCTGGTTTCAAACTTTAATCCTCCAAATTGCAACATCCTCAGGAGCTAGGATAATAGGCATGAGCCACCCATGCCCAGCTAAAACTCTTCAATCTTTACAACACAGTACATCACTTAATAGCCAATTACAACAGAAGACAAACAGCAGTGTTTAGCACCACAAGAAAACAATACCTACCGACTTAGAATTCCTAGGCTCCAGCACCAGCGACAGTTTGTAAATATCATCTTCTGTGTGATAGAGGTCCAGAGAGAGCTACAACAGAATTAGAGGGGGTAAAAAATTCTGTGGGATTATATTTCTTTATTGACATTGCTGGGAGAGATTTTAAATTGAACATCTCAAGTCCAATGGCCAATAATCTAATGAATGAAGAACAATTAAAAAAAACCAACATGCAGAAGTTAAAAAAATAAAAAGACAAAGTTAATCCTGATGTGCTTGTCATCATGAATAAAGATTTGTACATATCCAGGACAGAAGCTGGACAGATATGTAGAATGAGACCTGGAAATGTAATGAATACTACTTTGGAGATTTGATTCAAGAACTGTAGAAATAAAGGAGAAATGAACTCAGTTCCTGTTTTGGACCATTGTGAAATGTCCTGATGATACAAAATGATATAATGTTCCCCACCCCCTGACAAATATTTGAATAAACAGGACTTGGACAAAAATGACATGTCCATATCAATGCAGGCTTAGAGTGACAAAAAATCAACACAGGGATTGTTCAGAGAAGCAGCTAGGGCATGTACAAGAGCAGAAGACTTTATCCATACATATGCACACACACATCTGTATAGGTATGTATGCGTAAGGTATTTTGCCTATACTTTGTCACCTAAAGTTTCTTTTTGCCATACATTGTTCCAGCATCTTTTCAGATCTTGAAAATTTTGCTCCCAAAGAATAGACATTGTCTCCACCTTTCCCTGAACACCAAGCTCAGGGACTCTGGCTTCTTAAAGGAGAGGAATCACCAAAATGTAACAAACAAAGGCCTTTAGGAACCATCTTATCATGTATAACTGACATAGATGATCAAAAGGTTTATTTCAGTGGAGACATTGGTGCCACAAAGACTGATATGGAAAACAATAACAAAAAAAAACTTTGCAGGGGCTGGGAAGGTGGCTCAGTAGTAGTATGCTTGCCTTGCATGCACAAGGCCCTGGGTTCGATTCCTCAGTACCACATAAGCAGAAAAAGCTGGAAGTGGTGCTGTGGCTCAAGTGGTAGAGTGCTAGCTTTGATCTGAAGAGCTCAGGGACAGCACCCAGGCCCAGAGTTCATGACCAACAACAACAACTGACTTAGGGATCTTTCCTCTTGTGATGGGATATAACACCAGCTCCCTGTTGGGGAAGCAGTAGGGAGGGGTGTGGCCTGGGAGGGGAGGAAGGGCAACACCCTTCAGACTCAGATGGCAATACTAGCAATCAGCAATAAGCAATTTTGATAATTCTGCATGGACCAAATGTATCTCATCTGCCATGGCAGATGTCAACTTTGGGCTCATGAAAGTGGACAGCACTGAGGTCTGCACCCTCGGTCCCAGTGGGCAGCCTTACATTGTGAAGCTCTAAAAACAGAGAAAACAGAATGATGTCTTTGTTTTGCATCCTGACGTTGGTAAGCATGTTCTTTTCCTCCAGACTCGCCCCTCCCAGCCCCTAATCCTTTGATGACTGACTCCCACCTCTGCCAGTGACAAGATATCCAACCCTAAAGGAACACACAAGCCATGCACCAAGTCAGAGAGACACTTGTGCAGAAGACGCAGAACCTCCTTGTGTATTTTCCTATCGGATATGGATCTAGTAGTAGACAGGTTTTGCTTTTGCCCTAATGTTTGCTTTCTACTTAGTGGCTCGATCGTAGGCCATCAATCAATCTTGAGTTTCAGTCTCCTGATCTTCAAAAATGAGAATCACGAAGGATAAGTTCTGTCCCAGGACTGTGGTGAACATTTTAAATGGGTGAATATGTGTCCCACTGGCTTTGCTTCAAAAGTCATATAGGAAGTTGGGTGCTTATGGCTCATACCTTTGATCCTAGCTACTCAGAATGCTGAGATATGAGGATTGCAGTCCAAAGTCAGGCTAGACAGACAAATTCAAGGGAATAAAAAAAAATAACAATTAACCAGCAAAAAAGCCAGGAGTGGAAGTATAGCTCAAGTCACAGAGTGTCAGCCCTGAGTTCAAACCCAAGTACTGGCATAAATACATAAATAAACAAATAAACTCATGGGTGTGGACTTGGCTTTCAGCCAATACAGCACAGCCACTTGCTTATCTATGGATAGAAATCCACCCTCCAGTCACTGCTACACGCTCTGCACTCCCAGCTACAATCCACGGCCCCTCTCACATATCATCCGGCTTTAAAAACCTGCCCAAGAGTGACTGACTTCCTATACACCTTTAAAATAATAAGAGAAGCTGGTCAGTGGGCACTTTTAAGAATATTTGCTTTTGTCTCACATATTTCGAGGCTAGATGTTTCTGACTAATGTTCTTCTCCATTGTCTCAGGCTATTGCAATTGTTAGCCAATCCTGCCAGCAAGGATGGTAGTAGTTAGTCTTCATCCACCCTGGTGAGGTTTGTCGTAAAATAAAACACACTTGGTCATCAGACTATCTCAACTCCTTTGCCGTCATCATCTTCTTCTCCTCTTCCTCCTCCCCCTCCTCCTCCTCCTCCTTCATTTGTGAAATAAGACTGAAAATATGGGGGCTTTCCAGTAATTTGCATATACTCAAAATGGTAAAAGTAACTGATGGAGCTAAAAATACTAGGAAGAGAATTAGGTTGTTTCTCATATTATGGAACTGAATCATCAGCTTCCAAAACTATCAGGTATGTGAAGTGGAATCCTGAGGACAAATGTCTTCTCCAGGTCTTCCCCCAGAAGGAGGAACTTTCTAGACCCTCACAGCTTGGTGTCCTGCTCCTCCTCCTGCACATGCCCCGTGCTCTTCCAGGGGCCAAGGACACAATGATAAAAGTGACTGAGTTCCTGGCCCTCGTAAACTGTGCTTTCCACGCACCTCCTTCACTACACATCCACAAAGGACGTGGGGAGGGGGGTAATTATTTAATTTTTTACTGATACAAGTGGTAGAACACATGCCTGACAAGGGGGGGGGGGCTGACTTCAATGCTCAGTATTAGAAAATGAAGTAAATTAGATGTTAGCAGCATGCTCACACTAGAGGTGTGAATGTGCCTCTGAGCTAAAGCATCGGCTACAGTTTAAACCTTAAACATTCCCCAAAGACCATGTGTTAGAGTCTCCAGTTTGGTCCTATTGAGAAGTGGTAGAAGCATAAAGAGGTTAGGCCTATTTAGACGCCCAGGGGTAGGCCCGGCATGCCTTTCAAGGCAATTGTGAGGTACCAGACCCTTCTCTGCTCTCTCTCTGCTTGCTTGCTTGCTTGTTGCTTGCTTGCTTGCTTCCTTCCTTTCTCCCTCCCTTCCTGGCAATAGTTCTACTCTGCCATACACCACAATGTGCTGCTTTGCCACAGAGTCAGGGTAATGGGGCCAATCCGTCTTAGGCGGAAGCCCCTACAACCACGAGCCAAAATAAGCCTTTTCTCTTTATAGATTGGTTTATAGCAGTTATTTGGCATAGTAATGGAAAACAGACTAAGACACTATCCAAGGGAGTGGGGAAAAGAAAAAAAGAAACATGCTAGGAAACAGAAGGTTCCGTTTCCATGCCTCCTGTCCTTTCCAAATCTCAATTTCTTCATTTAGAAGAATAGAAGGGGCAGTGTTGGTGTTACACTGACTGCCTCGCCCAGGCTGTATCGCGGAGCATTTGTGAGCGTTTGCCAAGAACATATCTGTGAAGGGGTTGTGTAATCCAGTTACTATCAAACATTCAACATGGCTAGACAGCTTATTGCACAGGAATAGTCATTTTGGAAGTTGTCAGTTTACTGGAAGAATTCTTATTTTCTCTCTCCTCCAAAGCTCTCAACAATAATGTGTCATTCAGATGATCTTAGCTGGGGCCATGTTGAGACAAAAGCAACCACTTCGAGTAAACACTTGACTGAGTGTTGGACAAAAATGAGTCACCCCTACAACACTGTGCTCAGAAACGTGCTCACATGCCTACGGACAGCTCCATCGTATGGTTCTAATCTGAACGTGTACGTGCTTTGTAAATGGTCACTAGGTTCTGGGAAATATATAGTGCTAGTCTCAACATTCATACTGGAGAGATTATTTCCCCAAAGGTCAGGAAGAATGAACGTATATTCCTATGTGTTGAACTTTCACCTTGGTTTGGAGGAGAGAAAAAGGATCCTAGGTTTAGGTACAAACTGGCTTGACATTCTGTGATTGATTAACAGGGTGGTGCTATCCTGAGAAGTCATGAGGCCAGGACTAGAGAAATGATTTATTATCATGCCTCAACTATTCCATCAATCTAAAGTTATGCTGTTTAAAGTTGGAAAGATACCTCACAAGTGAGCACAAATCCCTTATTTAAAAAAAGAAAAAAAGCACTAATGCTAAGAATATGTAGAGACAGAGCTAAAAGTAAGCTCTCCTGTATGGCGTTTTACCATTATACTAGGCAACACACCATTGCATTTGAGAATTATGGTGTTTGGGAGTTTTAAATGTTCCCTTCAATACCTCAAAGAGATGATAAAGAGGCTCTGACACCCTTTTCTTTTTTTATGTTACTTTCCCAAGCCAAAACACATTATTTTGGGGATTGAAAATTTTTATTGATACTACCAAAATGTCATTCAAAACTTCTCCAAATGTGTGTTTGCTTCCCATATGATGTTTGGTGCATTTAGGTTTTGTTTTGTTTGCCTTGTTGGAGATTAAACCCAGGGCTTTGTACATGCTTAGTAAACATTGCCAGTACTGAGAGTTTCTGCTAGATGTATTTGTAACTCAAAATTAATTTCCCTATTCCATTAGTCTTTTTTATTTGGTTGAGACCTTGCCCAAGGATAGGCACCTGTTTTGTGAAGTTTTGCTCAATATCAATGATCCAGGCCTGGATACAGAGACTTGAAACTGAGGCCCTGATCTGGGTCTACTCTTCAGACATCACCTGTGCCTGTGGGTTTGTTGTCTGGTCAGGGGTTGCAACACTGGTCGCTTATTCATGGAAACAGATTTACATGGCAAATGATTAATAAATGCAGGTGGTTAAATTATTACAAGTTCGTTTTCTCCCCTGGTAGACAATGTCTGAGTGTTTACTATTCGTCACCCAAACTTATTCCCAAGAGATAGGTACATTGACCACTTCTGCTTTGTACTAAGAGTGAAGGTAGCCTTAATCAACTATACTCAAGAGTCTGTTGGACTGTGTGCTCTAGGAACAGCTTGCGAGATGTCTGTTCTCACCCAATTCCCACGCTGCTGTTTAAGAGGAGATTTAGGCAGTCTGGGTCACAAAAGAGTTATCAATTTCATTTTATACAATCTTAGGAAATCCATTTATACAATCCTTTATGGCCCTGCATTGCAGCCTTGTTTCTGATGTTACAGTGTTAGAAACCCAAACGGGGAAGTTATGTTTCTGTATGTTAAGGCAAGGGTCAGTGCACTTTATTATGCTTTCTCCTCTTCCCAAAGAAAAACCAATGGAAACTGTTCTTGTCTATATTCTTGTGGGGTAGAAAAGTTCTAGGACCTGAATATCTGATAAACTAGTATGTCGTAAATGTCAAAAAGGGGGAGGGGCATGGTATGGAAGTACCACAATGAAACTTTTCTGTACAAATAATATATGCTAATGCATTTTTAAAAACATGAGTGGTAGAGAAATACTTTTGGTGGACTCTCATCACTCCTTAACTTAGCATTCATTTCATCCTCCAAGTTCTTAAAGGGGCCAGGTATGGAAAGTGCTGAGGGACATAGAAGACACATAAACAGAATGGAAATCAGATCCTAAGTGACACCTCCTGGACCTGAAGGAAGTGTGAAGAGCAAAGGAAATACAGAGAACTGATGTGCTGCTGCTTTTGGAAGGGAACAGAGGATGCCAGAGATTGCTCCAGACAAATGAAGACTTTGGAATTTGAAGTAGCCATGTGGATAGACAGAGACAAGATTACCCAAAGACTTGCTAAAGCCAGGAAGCAGCAAGCAGAAAGAACAGGTCCAATATTCCTCAGTGGCTATGATGTGGGAGAGGAGGAAGAGAAACACTGCTGTGCTGAAATGCAGAGATGGGGTCTTGAATGGTCTCAAAGGCCAGCCTAGGAACAACACCCTGTTGGTTTGGTGTGTGGCAGTGACAGGAGATCACAGTGGGGGGGGGCCTTGCATCACTCCAGCTTTCACTAAAGCAGTCAGGAGGATAGAGAGAAGCAGAGCATTTGAGGCCATGTGGACGTTCATGACAAGGAAGTGGAAGTGTGGCTTAACCTTGAGCAAAAAAAAAAAAAAAAGCCAGGTGAGAATAAGAGGCCCTGAGTTCAAGTCCCGGTACTGGCACAAACATTAAATAAAAGAAACTGGCATCAGCTGGGCAGGTAAGTGTGCAGAGAGAATGGGAGAGTGATGGATTGCAAAAGGGGGCTCCTTAAGAAATCTAGAGGGAGGGCTGGGAAGTTGGCTCAGTGGTAGAGCACTTGCCTTGCATGCCTGAGGCCCTGGGTTTGATTCCTCAGCACCACATAAGCAAAAAGAAAAAAGCTGGAAGTGGTGCTGTGGCTCAAGTGGTAGAGCACTAGCCTTGAGCTGAAGAGCTGAGGAACAGCGCCCAGGCCCAGAGTTCAGGCCCCACGACCGGACCCAAAAATAAACAAAAGCAAAAAACAAAGAAATCCAGAGGGAGTGGCCCTGTAGCTCAAGTGGTAGAGCGCTTGCCTTGAGCTGAAGAGCTGAGGGACAGCACCCAGGCCCAGAGTTCAAGCCCCATGACCAACAAAAATAAATAAATATAAATAAATGGTGCTAATTCCAAGCCAGGGACTTAGCTGGATACCGGTGGCCCATGCCTATAATCTTAGCTACTCAGAAGGCTGAGATCTGAAGATCACAGGTCCAAGCCAGCCTGGGCATGAAAGTCCGTGAGACTCTTATCTCAGAAAACCAGAAGTGGCACTGTGGTTCAAGTGGTAGAGCGTTAGCCTTGAGCTGAAGAGCTGAGGGACAGCACCCAGGCCCATGAAAACACAAAAGAAAAAATAAATCCAGAAAGGAGAGCTATATGGGTCAAGACTTGGCACCTCCAAACAAATGGAAATTTGTTTGCAAGATGATAATAGTCTCAAGTCATGTTGGTTATGGATGTGAGTTCTCTTTTTCCTCATTCTTTGAGAATTTTTTCCCATTGACGGACCATCACCCCCCTTCCTCCCCCAAAATCAATCATCCCCAAGGTGAATGGCTGGCACAGGTCTTCCTGTATGTCCTAGAAAGTGAGATGCAGGAGGGTCATTTAGCCCCGCCTCTTCCTCTTCCTCCCCCTCCCTCCCCCCAACTCACAGTAAGTAGGTTGATCAAATCCATGTTAGGCTCTAAGTGGTGAGAGGCATTCTGCAATGAGACCAGTTCACTTAGGGTCACGGAAAGCTGGTGCATTTTCACAATGTTTACTTTGTTTTCTTCCATCCAGTCTGGGAAAATGACATGGACTGCTATCAAGTCTTTCAAGTGGACTCCAAGGATAGGGATTTTGAAGCCATCACAGTCAGCAAAGGCCTTGCGGTAATTGCAGTAATTGCCATTGGAGGAGACCAACTCGGTCATTTCATTCCAGTTCTGGGAACAGATGGAAAAGTAGACATTTCCAATAACCTTCTCTTCTGCCCACTTCCCGCTTCGCCTGCCATCCCACCAGCCCTGCAACGTGTGGCTAGCAAATTCCTCAGCTACTGCGAGAAGTATCAATTGCACCAATGTTGATGCAGGAAAATATTAACCAGGAAAAAGAAAATTAGAAATATGTAATAGGTCTGCCTAATGAATTGGATAGCTTGTTTTATCTTGCTACAAAACAGAACTAACCACCACCTCTGTCTACTCAGTAGGGATGCTGGGATATTAAAAAGTATCATGTGTACTTAGTAACTTTGCAATTCAAGAGACTATCACAATCCACAGAGTTAAGCATGGAACATGTTACAATTTCCTAGTTATTCCAGGAACATTGCATTTCAGATATTACTTGAAGGTTGGCACAGAACACTATTGGGCAGGAAAAGTCACACTAAGATTTGAGATAGCTGTAGCTCTGACTCTGTACTAACTATAAGGCTGAACTTGAACAAATCAATCACACTTGATAAGGTGGGGGGGACCGTAGTTTCTTTTCTATCAGAAAGAGGAATTCAAGGAAATCATTTTGAAAGACAAACTAGTAATTCCAAGTTTTTGTGAGCCTCTGTCAGAGTCTTAGTCTTTACAACATTTAAACTCTCTTTTTTGCTTTTTTATTTGAAATTTAGTACAAAGCTAAAAGAAAGCAGAACACATAATGAGTCATATTATACTTGGAATGAGTACAGAGTTTGAGGTTCAACAGTAGTACTTCTGTGCCTAACATCCTCTTGTTTATATGCATAAGCCCTAGTTGGTTATTTAACAGCAACCAGGCCATCCTAATAGATCCCAGTGGAGGTGGAGATGGAGCTGGTTGTTTCTATAAGACCAGTAATTCCCTCCCTTTGGTTTATGATTGGTTCAGGAACAAAGGACTAAGCCATTTATATACCATCTTTCTCTAGCAACTGCTATTGGTCCAGGATGGACCAAAGTCTTGAAAGGGCCCAAAATGTGTCTAAAAACAAGGTCTTTAATCGCCTGGGAGCAGTCCCTCTTACAGAGCAAGCACTAAGTAAACACTTGTTAATAGTTCCAACTAAAATACATTCATCTTATGTAAAAAAAAATGTGCTTCTTTTCTAGCTAGATTCAGCTGATGTGGCTTTTCTTTTTTCTTTTGTGGTTGGTTGTGGGGCTTGAACTCAGAGCCTGGGTACTGTCCTTGAGCAAATAAGCTCAAGGCTAGTGCTCTACCACTCTGAGCCACAGCTCTGGGGGTTAATTGGAGATAAGAGTTGCATGGCTTTCCTGCCCAAGCTGGCTTCAAAATGAAATTTTCAGATCTCGGCCTCCTGAGTAGCTAGAATGCAGTACCTATAGGTATGAGCCACTGTGGCCAGATTGAGGTGGCTATTCTTATTTGTGTAACCTATCATTGTTTAAGAGGAAAATAGTCCCTCTCCAGGAATGTTGGGTAGGAGCACACTTTAAGCGATTTACAAATATTTACTTAGAATTAGGACCAAAATTCACAGTACCTTCGTAACCTCTGAGGAAAGATGAGAATGGGTCTCTTTGAGGCGTGAAATGGAGCTGTGACTGAGGCCTCCCACCACGGCCATCAGTGTATTAAAATTCTTGAGCTGAAGGAGTTTCTGCAATAAAAATATTAACACCAACACTTTGTAAGGATCTCTTAATTGCTCTGAATGTTTCAAACTACAAATGAATGCAGGCATAACTTTGTAAATGAAAACTTAAAAAAAATATCATTGATATGTCTTAAACTGAAGGCACAAATAGAATCCTTTAGAAAAATAACTATGTTAAACACTCTGGGTATTTATTTTAAAAAGCAATCTTGGTACTCAAGAGAAGTATGATTTTTTGTTATTATTTATTGTAGTTTGGTTTTTTGTTTTGTATATTTATATTCTTATTTGTTTTGGACTGTCCTAGGTCTGAACTTAGGGCTATGTACTTGCTCAAGCACTCTGCCATTTGGACTACATCTCCAGCCCAAGAAGTATGATTTGTCCATTAGATATCTATGAATAGTTTAACCAGATTTCCTCAATATTTTTTCAATGAAGTCAATGATTATTCAGAATCCCAAGATCCCCATCTGTTTCTAAGACATACCTTTGCAACATTGATAAACTTTATGATGACCTCTGCCCTTTGCTGGGGTGTTGGTTTGCTAAGAACCATCAACTGGACCCACTTAGAGATTCCATTAAATAAACCAATAGATCTCTCCAGGGTTGGGTTGTTCTCCAGGCAGCCATGGATGACATAGCTTTGATAATCAGTAAACTGGTAAAGGAAAATTCACAGATCCTGAGTTATAATTGGGCTTTTGCAAAATTTGAAATTTTACATTTTCATAGAAGATGTGAGACATTCTTTCCCTTTTCCTCCCTCCCTCCCTCCCTCCCTCCCTCC